GCATCTCATAATCCACAGCGCTTCGCGTCAAAGTACGAATATATGGATGAACTATCTATTATTGAATAACTATTATATATATATATATAATTACATGACAGAAATAAAACATAAACTACAAACAAAACGTGACAACTAAAATCTCAAAAAGATATTCTCACAAATATATTTCACGCAACTAGGAATCTCAAAACAATTAGACGCTATAATGATACTCTGCACTTGTTAGACACAAGAAGAGGCCTAAAAGCAAGCGTCCGACACACAAAACCCGCCAGATCCACTTGCAGTCACAATCAATGATTCTACGAATCGCGAGCGCTCTCGAATCATAAAAACGCTGACTGCGACACTCTGAAAGCGAAATTGACAGGCTCTATGCGTCAAACACCCGCCACCCAATCTCCTCCCGCATCCAACAACACAAATCTCCATTACAACATCTAACGAATTCAAAACTCCGAAAATCACTCATCTATAGCTAGTGAGTGGAAGCAACCTTGTATGCAACCATTCTTCATGATACACTTTTTCTGTCTATCTTTCTATTAAGCCTGTGGACATGCGTTAGCTTCAAAACTTCTAACCAAATTGTGAAATTTTTCAAATCACGAAAAAAAAAACTTTTAAAGGTAATTACAAGTAAAATAAATATTGATGATTTTACGCAAAAACGAGCAAGTAATATTAAATCTCTTGTATCGAATGCTAATGCTAATTGACTGTAACAAAAATAATATGCTTAAATAAAATAAAATATAAATAACATTATATGCAAAATTAACTAGAATATCATTACTTTATTGGTGAGAAGTTTCTAATAAGCCCTCCCAGTTCCTCTGTATACAGAACAAATCTGATACTATAATCAGAATTGCTCAGTCTGCATGAAGCAGCCGATTTCATCAAGGAAGTTCTATTAACAACCAAGAATTAATCGTTTGAGGCATACTGAAACATTAAGAAGGTGATATGTGTCACTATAGGAAATCATCATCGTTGCAAATATGTATAAAGAAATTAAACATAACCCTTTGCTTCAGTACCGTCAACCTCCATGTCCATGGGGAGGGACCGAATTGCCTCACTACCTTCTGACCATTATTTCATTTCTACGGATAGTCTTAGCTCATTTGAGGCTATTCGTTCAATGAGGCCGATGAAGCACTCCACGTATTTCCTACCTGAAATACGATCTAAACTGAGTGCCTTATCTAACTTCTCCTATGCTATCACCTTAGCTTGGGTCCCATCTCATTGCTCAATTCCGGGTAATGAGAAAGCGGACTCATTGGCTAAGGTGGGCGCTATGGAAGGCGATATTTGTGAGCGTCAAATCGCCTTCAACGAATTTTTCTCCATTGCTCGTCAGCAAGTCCTCATCAGTTGGCAACAAAAATGGAATGATGGTGAATTGGGAAGATGGTTACATTCTATTATCCCACAGGTGTCAAACAAACCATGGTTCAAAGGGTTGGACATGAGCCGCGACTTTATACGCGTTATATCAAGGCTTATGTCCAATCACTGCTCGTTAGACTCGCACTTCTATCGAATTGGGCTCTCAGGCAGCAATTTATGTGCGTGTGGCAGTGGTTATCACGATATCGAGCATGTTGTTTGGTCATGTACCTTACAACGTGTTGCCAGATCTGAGTTATCCACATCCCTCAGGGCCCGAGGAAAACAACCCGCGATACCCGTTAGAGATGTCTTGGCGAGCCGAGACCTCGACTATTTGAATTTAATTTATGTGTTTTTAAAACGGATAGATTTGAGGATGTTTTCCCTCGTTGTTAGCTGCCCATCGGTGTACCCCGATGTTTGTCTTTTTCATCAGAGTGTCGCTTAGTTCGAGATCAAGAGCACATTGCTCTCCAAACCTTGTGTTCACAATCCCTACCCTGCCATCCATTTGTTACAATTTGTTACCCCTAAACTCGAGATAGCAGCGAGTAATCGGCCCCCGCTTTACTAACGTTAGTTTTAAGTAATTTTGTTATCTAAACAATGAATATCGGCTCCGCAAAGCTACAGCAAATGAGCCTAGAAAAATAAACGAATTATTAAAAAAAAAAATGTTCAAAAACAAAACATTCTTTTCACTTATTTTACCAACACCAACTTATATAATCTAAGCATGCTTTTTTGCGGAATTAAAAAGGGATAATGAGAACTGTCAGAGGCAGTGTTCGGAAAAAAAAAGCTCAAAAACTCAAAACTCATGCATGAGTTTATGCGCGTATGAGTTTTGCCTTGCAAAATTCAACGTCGCAAAAATCACCTATGGATTTTAGGTTCAAAAATTCATTTATTTATATGTTGGCGTTATTTATTGATATTACTATTTTTTGTCCATCACGGGTTCGAAAACTAACAAAACATGCATAACCATGGTATCAATTGACGTTTGAGTGGTTTTTTATGAGTTTACAGTTGGAACGATTTTTCGACGTTGTGAGTGTGAGTGCGTGAATATGCAAGAGAATCTCAAGCGTGAATTTTGTTTGCCACATTCGCACGCGAGTTTATTCTCGCAAGGAGGCTCAATGAATGAGATTCGAGAATGATTTTCCGCACACTGGTCAGAGGTATTCTATTTTGCTACACCATAAGCAATTTGTGATACATATATTGCTATCTAGTTTTTGCCTCATTCAGAAAAATGGCTCAATCAAAGGAAATTTTTAAATTATCATCACAGATATCATCACAGATTTTCTAGACAAAAACTAAGATGAAAAGATTGTTTTGGGCAAAAACACAGATTTAATTTTGGCAACCCTGCTTGCAAGCTGTTTTCAACTTCGAGTTATACAAGCAACTCGGATTAGCTCGGATCGGCTGAAAGAAATCCGAATATGAGCTCGCAAGGGGGGTAAAAAGTAAAAACTAAATGACAGAATCAATTGCACCGTCAGCTATAACACCAATACTTCCAATTATAGCATGGTGACCAGTGAACCAATTTCTCGGCTTTTTCCCGATTTTTTCCCTGGATTTTGTAAATTTTTCCAGTTGTTAAAATTAAGCATAAAATCGGAAGTCGAAAGGATCACCAGGTTAAATGGATCATTACTACATTTTGAATTCTTCAAAACTTGTCCATGTTTAAACTACCTTACTCAAAACTATTTACAGCATTTTATTACAATTGTAGCATTTCCTTTGGAATAATTTCCCTTCACAGATTTTATTTCAGAATTCTTCAAAAATAAGTTTGAGATTCTCTCTGCCCTCCCTTCATGCTTAGATTTTCTTCGAAGCTACCTTCCATAATCCGATTAAAAATTCGCTTGAGTTCTCTTTACAATTCCCAACCAATTTAACTCAGAATTGCCTTCAAATTTTTGTTCCGAATTATCTTGGAGTTCTCCTTTCAATTCTTCTGAAATGTTTCTTGGAAATTTCCGTAATATTCTGTAGAAATTCGTTTTGTGATGCCATTGTAATTATTCTTTGAATTCCATTGAAATAATTCTCAGAATTCGTTTAGAATAGAACCCTCGAAATTCGGTTCCCTTGGTATTTTTCACGAATCCTGGGATCTTCTTCACAATCGACTTGGAAGATCTTCTTTAAATTCTACTCTGAAATCACACAAGTACTTTGGAGTTATACTCTAAAATCTCTAAGAGTTCTTTCCAAAAAAACCTTAAATTTGTCTGAAATACCTTGGTGCTATTGCTAACATGCATTGTAAAATCTTTTCGAAATTCCAAAAAATCTCGTCTTTTTTTTTTCTCTGTTCGGGACATAACACCACTGCGACCAGTAATTTGATCTATTGTAGTATATCCCGTGTCCTTAGTTTAGTGCATGTCGTATTACTCCATCACTATTGAGAAATGATGAAGTATTCGGTTTTGATACAGTTGTCATTCTTGCCTTCATCGCAAGGAATCGATTCTAACTGAAAGGTTCCGCTATTTATACCCTTCGGAGTTGGAACACCCTCCAAAGGCGCGCCCCTTTGTCAGTCAAAATTGGATTCCTTAACAACAAAAACAAGCTACGACACCGATAATGACCATGCATCAGAACCCTAGTCTTAACCACTTCAAACTAGGGAACAACGATTAGAAGATTAGGAATCACATAGATGAAGACTAACTAACTCATTTTTCCCTTGTTTCAAGATCATCCTCGGTCCAGGCAACCCGAGGACTTATCACTATCAACAAGGCATAAAAAGTAACAAGGACTAAGATGTGCTCCTTTGATTACTGAAAAATCCTGTTCCCCTAGTTTGAAGAAGTTAGGACTAGGAATCGGTGGTAGATCTTACATCCCGTAACGTACCACGAAAAGGTGATCTACCCACGTTACGGGGCACGTCTAGCCCAAGATTTTAAAAATTTTCAAAGTTTCAAAATCTTTTGTTTTTAAATGGATTAAGTAAATTTTTCCCGGTGACTTTGAATTAATGACTTTTCTTGGTTTTCCCGATATCCCGGTTGACTGGTCACCTTGTTATGGACAACTTTATGTGATAGAATTCTATTGCATTAAATTATTGTTGCTGAGATTCTGTGAACTTCGATACTTGTAACCACTGCCAAAACGGGTATTATATAAAATTCGAAATATTTCTCAACTACACACTAAGTTTTTTTTTTGCCGAAATGGGCACCACCGAGCAGCTCGGCATTTTATTTTGCTGGATCGCAATAAAAACACTTGCCGAGATTCAGCGAAATTTATGTTTGTTAGCTGAGATCTCGGTAAAATTCCCGTTTGTTAGCTGAATCTCGGCAAGTTTTTCATTGAGATCCAGCAAAATGAAATGCCGAACTGCTCGCTGGTGCCCATCTCGGCAAAACAATCTAAGTGTGTAAGAAGCAGGCATATCAAGAATACTTTAGCATGCAAAAATGTCAGAGAAAAAATCGTTTTGATGAATAATCAAGATAGCAACAATTTACTGGGGTCATATTGACCCCAAGATACAGACAAAGGGTTAAAAAGTCAATGAAGTTTGGAATAACCCAAATATTTCTCAACAATAAAGAGCACTTTTCTGTCTCTTCTCGCATCCTCTATTTATTTTACTACTCACAACTTATAGCCTAGCATTTAAAACGAGCCATATCACTGCGGTGAACATAAGGGACAGTTTACCCAGAATCTGCGCGGCAGCATTCCTCAGCACCAAACCCTCGTATGGTTGCAAGACGACACTGTTGGCGGAAACCGTATCTCTGTAAATTTAAATTCCAAATTAGAATCACGTCCCAGTCACATACACTAGAATCTATTACCCATTGGATCGTTTGGATGACCCACTTCGCACCTCCACCTTAAGCTTATCCTGTGAGCGCGTTTTGTACTGTGTGAACAATGGCGCAATGTTCACCGTGGAAGTTGAGTTTGCAAGATTGACCACCGTTACCCAAACCTCCGATTCTTCCACGCTCGGCCCTATTCGCAGTATCGCAAAAGTGCTAGTCCCAAGGATTGCCGTCTGGTAGTGGCAATTTTGGAAATCACTCCTCTCGCGCAACTCCATCAAGGCTTTGAATACCTTCAAGTGACTCCAGCTGGCTTGCTCCTCAGCTTGTACATTTACCGTTACGTATGCTGGTGAAACCGGTAGCCATGGTTTGGAGTGGTTTGTGAAACCTGCGTTAGTCGTATTATCCCACTGGAATGGAGTGCGAGCTGGATCTCTGGTGTACTTATTGTACACTTCCTTAGATGTCTGACAGGCAGCCGGATCGACCGTATCCTCCCATGACAGATCGAAATCCATCATACCGATCTCTTCGCCCTGATAAGTCACAGAAACTCCGGGCATGGAGAGCTGAACTATTTCCATTATGTCTATCATATGTTCTCCACCCATGCGCGATGCAACGCGTCTTTTGTCGTGGTTTCCTAGCTAAGATAAGTAGATAGAATGAAATTGTTCTTATTTAAAACATAAACTACTTACCACCCAGTTCGGTGTATGTCCTGTGGGAACGGTATCGAGCCATGAATCAATGACCGTTTTGAAATCGGAAGGTTTATAATTATTTTCATCCAATCGAAGAATCAACTGAAAGTTGAATGGCATCTGTGAACCTTGACGGCCATTCTCGTCTTGGAAATATGTTTTAATTGTCGGAAGATCAGCCCATGATTCCGTCATCAGAACTCGAGTTTCTCCACCCTTCTGCTTCTGGTATTCATCCATAACCGCACGCCATTGGTACACCATATCAACCGTTTCCGGTAAATTCTGAGTATATATATGGTTCAGATATTCCGGCATTAGCGGATCTTGAGAGTTTCCAGAAATGGGTTCATCCGGAAAGTCAGAGTTTTCGAACAACCAATTGACGGCATCAATGCGGAAACCATCAACGCCCTTACCCAACCAAAAGCGCAACACATCCTTCATTTCTTCAACTACCTTCGGATTTCGGTAGTTGAGATCCGGTTGCTTACGGTGAAATTGATGGAGATAGTACTGCCTGCGCTTAGGGCTCCATTCCCATGCACTACCACGAAATGATTGTACCTATGCCAAAGACCATGTTCAGAATTGCTCAATTTCAACAACAGTACCGTGTACTTACCCAATTATTCGGTGGATCATACTGATCCACATTATTACCCGGTTTGCCATCATGCCACACATAATAATCTTCGTAGCCTGCCTCGCGGTTCTCACTCTTCACGAACCACTCGTGCTCGTCACTAGAATGATTGGGCACGAAATCCAGGATGACTTTCAGTCCCAACTTGTTCGCTTCCTTCACCAAATTTTCGAAATTTGCCATCGTCCCGTACTCCGGCTGGATATCCCGAAAATCGGAAATATCATAGCCAAAATCGGCCATCGGACTTTTGTAGATCGGTGACAGCCAGAAAGCTTTTATTCCCAGAGATTTTAAGTACGGTAACTTCTGAGTGATTCCATTCAAATCTCCAATGCCATCGCCATCACTGTCTTTAAACGATCGCGGATAGATTTGATAGAACCCGGACTGTTCCCACCAGTCACTAGCGTTCAGACTCCGAAGGTTTTGACCGACTGCGCACCACACCGGAACCAGTAATAGGAAAGCACACACAAACCGACTGCTCATCATCGTTGCTTTAGCCATTGTAACACTCTTTCTCACACCTTACCGATCAACACTAATAGCTGCCGGCCCCGCCACACTGGTACTGCAAATCCAGCGGGAAATGCAACGTGATTTTATACGACATTTTTTTTCACGACAAAGCGCTATCATTAAATCAATCGTAAATTTTCTCGCACGCCAACGGACGAGCACTTCTGGTTGAGGAGTTGTTTGCTCTTAGAAAAAAGCACAATTTTTTTCCTATCGACAGCAGAGTGCTATCAGAAAGTAAACATCTGCCGTTTGAAGCAAGTGGAAGATTTTTGCCGAGGTTTCGGTGGGTGACTACAGAATGGTTAAAAATGAAATTTGAACTTAGTACAGAACCGAAAAACTACCACCTGACTCATTTCGGAAAAATCCATGTAAATCTGAATTACAATAATCATGAAGTTATGAAATTGGGTTGTTAGTGGAATGCTCAAAAACACAAGTAAAAAGTTATCTTCCATTTATTCCATTTAAATAATTATGGTATCCATGAAAGATACGTAGGGGAATTTACGTATTCTCGGCTACCTAAACAACGACCTTCTTTCTATAGCATTTTTCTCTATGGAACGCACACATATGCAGTATCGGTTTGTTTACAGTCTTTTGCTGCCAGCTGCTCTAACAATTTCAGTCGAAAGAATTGTCAAAAACTGTTTTGAAACGCTTTTACAAAGCTCCAATCTTCTCTAGTGAGAGCGAGTTATGTCGGCAACCAGTTTTTCTTCGGCAACCGTTCCATTTGAACTGCATGTAAATCTGCTGTTCTATTATCGACAACTCGAAATCAGCTACAATTTGTAGTGCGTGTGTTTCATTTCAAGAAAACCCTGCTAGATTCTTTTTCTCAGTGGTAAAAATATAGTCAAATTGAAGCTGAAAGCATAAAGAATCGTTTGCATGCATTCAGCGAAGTGTTTTCGTAAGAAAATCAAGTGAAAATAGTGTTTCAATTTGGGTTGCCGAAAATAGTCTGTCATGCCGAAGCCGTCATTTCCCCTATTTCGATTACAATGTGCAGTCTTCGAGTGGGAATGACATTGATAAAGACTGCACATTGTAGTCGCTAAAGCTTCATATATCATTTTATGGAATTCTGTTGATGAAAAAAGTTAGAGGCAAATGAAAATAATTGAATGCACGAAACGATTGTAAATGATTTTCCATGTTGGCCTATGGATCTAAAATTGGGCCCATCGCTAAAAATCGGCTATTTATCAATTGTATCTAGATGAACGCGTCATTGGGACGGTACTAATGGATAATTTTGTGGTCGCTATTGAAAATTTAGTCAATTGCTGAATTTATGTATGGGCCCAAATTAGGGGCATTAGGGCCGACATTACATCCATTTCCCCTATATAGTATTTAATTGTCTGCATTAACGTCAATAGTCGTCGCCAGTTTAGGAAACAATGTAGTTTGGTTATATTTAGACAATATACAATAAAGTTAATTTTGGCAATTTATGAACAAACATGATCTTTTGATGCTGTAACATTTTCATCCATTTTTCCAAATTGTCGAAACTGTCATGTCAAATATGGAACCAGAAGTAAAACTGCATATTTATGGCGTCTTCAACCAACGCAAGGCAGACTTTATCACATACATTGAAAACGAATCATTTTTACTTCCAATCGTAGGTGAAGACGAAACATTACAATTTCTTTTTGACAAAATCTCATATTTAGGTCTACATCAAATTAACCACGTGAAAAATCAGCAAAAAGCATATTTAGACCTTTTATTTACAAAGTGTACTGAAGACTTCTGTGTGTATGCATAATTATCACCTTTATGAAAAAATGAAGTGTTTCACTCAGCAATTGAATATTCAATCTTCATACAGAATACTTTTTCTCCCAGCGACTGGGAGTACGAGGAAGTGCCGGAATATCATAAAGCAAATTACGAAGAAGCCAAACGTAGACTATGTACAATAAATTGGCAAAATATAATAAGTATTGAAGGAAATGTCGACACTGAAGTTGGCAGATTTCATTCAATTATTCGTAACACAATTTCTGAAACCGTACTAACAAAAAAGAAAAAAAAAAGGTTTGTGTTCGCCAGTGTGATTCAATCCACAACTAAAACATTTGAAGAACAAAAATCAGAAAGCACACAAATTATACAAAAAGGAAAGCACTAGCACAAATTTACAACACTATCATAACATATGCAACCAACTCAACACAGTCATTAACACTGCACATGAAGAATATAATCGTAAAGTCGAAAATGAAGTCAAATCATATCCTAAGAAATTTTTCAATTATGTAAAAACGAAATTGAAAAGTAATAATTTTCCGTCACGAATGCATTTTGATGGAAATGTAGGTGAAAATCCTTCTGAAATCTGCAATCTCTTTGCAAATTTCTTTCAGGAAGTATACACCACATTTTCTGAAAAAGACCGCGATCGCGACTTCTTTGCATTCATTCCCGAAGTCTCTAACAACATATCTGTCAATCAAATATGTCAACATGAAGTCCTCAATGCACTAAAAAATTTGGACGCATCTAAAGGACCAGGACCTGACGGAATTGCACCTGTATTCTTGAAGAATCTTTCAGAACAGCTCACCCTTCCTTTAGAACGCTGTTTGTGCAATGTCACCTATATGTACAACTACCCTACCCACTGTACCACTACAATATACAAAGCAACAATAAACTAGCAGGACGGCAAAGCAATCGGTGTTGTTTTATTTTAGATACTGATCACAGCGCAGTAGGGTCCTCTCGTGTGCGATCATATTTTTGACCAACCACTTGTGACCGACGGGCAAACTACATCGTTTAAAACCACCGACGACCGACTGGCAAACCATCGCTCAAAAACTGTTACGAAAACGAGGACGCTGATGGAGATGCTGCGGTGAATGGCGCAATCGACTAGAAGAATACCACTTCACTTCCCGCGACGATGGTGTGGCCCGAAGGTAGCCATCTGGCAGAGCATGTACGTTCCTGGCTCATCGCGAACCACGAGAGTTCTGGTCAGGAAACATGCTCACCGTGTAAGCAACCGGTGAGCACTCGTGTTTATTTCAGTTACCGTGGGACGTAATTTGTGATTAGTCCCGGTCCTTTTCAAATTGTATCATTATTTATGTATGGTCCTTATATTTGAAATGACGTTTCACATTCATCTAGTGATGGCCGATTTTCATTCAAATAATCGATTAGTCGATTAACGAACCGAAAAGTAAAATATTTGTAATCGGTTATATCATGCCGATATACTCATTAACTTCTCCAGAGGATCATCGACCATCGTTTCAAACATGTGCTGCACTCTCATTGGTGGAAAAATGACAGCACAGCGAACAAAAAATAATCAATGAGTTGTTGATCGAGTAATTAAAAAATGGGACACGTCTGATTTTGATGTCATTGTGTGATAAAAAAGAGCGCAAAATATCATCTCTACTGAGGGGGCAGCAAAACCACAAAATTACCTTGTATACGGGGGGTACTCATTGGATGAAAGGGACCATGAAAGAGGACACTAAAATCAAAAGTTTTTCTTCCGACTGTTTCATCTTAGTATTCTTCTTTGGTGCAAGGGCGAGTGCGTAGGACGGATTCTTCAGCAACGATTGTATTTGTTTTCAGTGTCAGTGTCAGAGTCTTCATTTCAAATGAGTTTGTGCAACCATTGCATGTATTTTGTAACACTAGTCGTTTCATCATTACCTGTTTGCATCAATAGAAAACCGAATGTCATCTATATGTGCAACTACCCTACCCACTGTACCACTACAATATACAAAGCAACAATAAACTAGTGTCTCGTATGCAGCGTTGCCAGGTCATTTTCAGACAAATCTGGACCAGGTAAAATATAAAATCTGGAAAAACCTGGAATGCCACAAAAATCGTCTTTTTAACATAATGCTATTGAAATCAAAGTGATGTGCCAATCTCCCGTAAAAATAGGTCAGTATGATCATCTGAAATTTATTTAAAGTACTAGAATGGTTATAAATTACATGTTTAAATAAATTATATAAGGCAAATAACTTGTAAGCATTGCTAAAATCATCCAAAAGTTGAAAAGTATTGACACAGTGTGCCCGCAGTATTTCAAAAATTGAGTTAAATGTGGGTTAAAAATAGGAAAAAATACGGTTAGAATTGTTTTTTAACCTGTAACTTTTTTAAAAAAAAATGAGAAGCAAAGAATCAAGGAAATTTGATGGGATGGATTTTTTTAACTAAAAGTCGATGTAGTCCTTACTATTTGATGCAGTACCAGAACTTGAAGATTTTATTAGTTCTAAATAATTCTAATATTACTCTGAGGTTGATCAGATTAACAGTTTAATTCATGACATAATACAACACACAACACCCAGCAGACTTGTAGGCAATTTTTTATTTTGAAGCAAAATTCACCGGGTGAGAATCAAAGCCCAACATCGCGGACTCACACACAGTTTACCTAAACTACGGGTAACTCCACTCTTCCCATGACCATTATGAATAATTTTATGCCAAAGAATAATTTGTTTTCGCCTTTTTTAATTTTAGTTCAATTTGAATCATCCTCGAATGTAATCATATTTCTCTTCTATATTCCCCTAAAATAATCTTGAAAATATCTAAACTTTTCCAGTAACATTCTAAGAGTTCTTAGCATTACCTCTTGTAATATCTTATAAATCACTCTCCAATTCCACAGCTCCCTCAAACTGGCTCAATTTTGTGTCCATTTTTTTTCTATGGATTTTATTCTATTTCTATTCTTAAGGGGTATCAGCATACCCCTTAAGTTTCATCATAAGAATTTTCTATGATTTCTCTTCCGGATTGTATTTCCTTTATTGACAAAATCTCCATGCAATTTTCATCAGAGTTGACAAGACAATTGACACCGTCTTCAACCAGAGGTTGCACAGACTGAATATTTAACACTAGACAACGGACAACACACCACACCTATTAGACCAGTAGGGAATTTTTCAGGTTGCCAAAATTTGCACCGGCTGGAGCGGGAATCGAACCCTCACTTCGTGGCACTCAAAATATGCCTAAAAGATGGGTGACGCCG